TTCAACATTCACTTTCATAAGATTTTGAATTCTAAATCCCCCCCCTTCTTCCCCTCCCCACTCTTCAAGACAGCATGCAATCTGATACAGGCACTACATATACATTCATGTTAAACATATTTTCACATTGTAAAGAAGAATTAAAATCAATGGGAGGAATCATGAGAAAAAAGAAACAAAACAAAAAAAGAACAAATAGTGCGCTTCAATCTGCATTCAGACTCCATAGTTCTTTCTCTGGATGTGGATAGCATTTTCCATCGTGAGTCTTTTGGAGTTGTTTTAGGTCCTTGCATTGCTGAGAAGAGCTCAATCTATCAAAGTTAGTCATTGCACAATGTTGCTGTTACTGTGTACAATGTTATCCTGGTTTTGCTCACTTTGATCAGCATCAGTTCATGTAACTCTTTCCAGGTTTTTCTGAAGTCTGCCTACTCATCATTTCTTTTTCTTTTAATTACTTAATTTATTTTTAGTTTTCAACATTTACTTCCATGAGATTTTGAGTTCCAAATTTTCTCTCCATCTCTCCCCTCCCTCCACCCAAGATGGTGTGCAAATTGATATAGGCTCTACGTATACATTCATATTAAACCTATCTTCACATTAGTCATGTTGTAAAGAAGAATTAGAACCAATGGGAGAAACCACGAAAAAGAAGAAACAAACAAAAAAAGAAAAAAAAGCACAAATAATATGTTTCGATCTGCATTGAGACTCCATAGTTCTTTTTCTGGGTGACAGACTTATTATTCTTAAAATACAATAGAAATGAGGATTCTTTCTACCTCTCCAAACCCTGTGTGGCATTGGTAATAGCCTAGGACATGTGTTCTTAACCCAGTATTAGCAAATTTGCTTTACAATTTCTTTTCAACATCTATGTTTCAATATAATTGTTTTCTTTCAGACCCTTTGTATATTTTATACATTTAAAAACATGCTTCTGAGAAGGGGTCTATGGACTTCCCCAAACTGCCAAAGAAGTTCATAACATAAAAAAGGTTAAGCATCCCTGGCCTAGGGTGATTTAAATATTCCTATCCTTTTGTCTGAGACAGATTCTTTGGGATAGAAGACAGATTGTTCTGAGAGGAATCAGGGTGCTTTGTTAGATGAACAGGTTAAGAATGATCAAATATTCACTTTGGGAATGGGAATAGGATGCCCTGTCCAGGTATCTTAGGGAGAAGGAACATGGAGATTTGAACTCGGGTCTTCTCAACTCCAAGTCCAGTGCTCCTCTATCTACTGAGCTATCTAGCTGCCTCTAGGTTGTCACTAATTGTGACATATTGCCTGGGACGAGGATCAACCAGCTGTGGGGTTTCAAGGGCCAAAGGGGCCTGGATTGCAACACTAGACTGTTTGATGATGGTTTATGCAGTTGGTAACTGTAGTCACAGAGAGTGACACCAAATGCCCTTTGCTAGAAGTTGTCCAGAACTTTAAGAGATGCTTGCTGGAAGCCCTGCCGGATAAGAAGGATAAAGACCATGTGTATTTTAGGAGGCTTTTTACTTTTTGAGGGAGTTTGTTATCCAAGAGTTCAGATGAATGCTCTGTTTTGTTTTCTCAGACTTTCAGTACCATCCTTTCCTTTATTTTTTGTGACCTTCATGATTTTCTGGGGAAGGGCTATGAACCAGAGAGAAGAGGAACTGCAAATAAAAACCTGGGCCTTCCATGTTTTGGGAGTCTCTTAGGGTTGTAATTGTTGGGCCATTTTTTTGTGCCTTCCCCATGGGTAGTGAAGACCAGTGACGGACAAGTATGAAATGATCAGTCCCAACAGAAAACTTATCATGTGCTCAGATTATCTTATACTTAACTCATTAGAACATCAGCTTAAAAGCTGTCTCCTTTGGAGGCCTTCCCATCCCAACTTGCTCCCTGTCTTTCCACCCCCCCCACCCCCACAGACACACACAAGTTGGTGCTGTTATCCCTCCAGTCTAGGGTTTGCTTCTGATGGGTGGAAGGAGGCCTGAAGTGTCAGTTTGGGGACTTTTCTGATATCCCAATAGGGGATGGTTGAGCCTTCAGTGCATTAAGGATCTATTGTGTCATTCTAAGTCTGTTTCTGTTAATAATGCTATAGTGTTTTACAGGTTAGCAAATGGTTTACAAATATTATTTCATTTGATCTTCACAATGACCTGAAATAGGAACTGTAGATATTACCCCAATTTTACAATGGAGGAAAATGAGGCCCAGAGGTATAGTGACTCCCCATGGTGACATAGCATCACAGAGAGAATCTGAAGCCAGATTTGGATAGCATAGATTTGTAGAAGACTTAGTCATCATGGTTGTGTGATTTCCTCCAGGGGCATTAAGTAGCATTTGAACAGGACTAGAAAAGGCAAATGATGGCAATTTTCCTGGGTTGAATTTTGGAAAGGAATGATTTAGGACAGTTTAAAGTTAAATGGATAACTAAAGTGAGTCCAGAAGTGATGGCTTGGGAGAATGGGAAGTATGTCAGGAAGTGACAGCTGACACACCCTGGCAGGAGGGATGAGATAGATAAAGTAAAAAAAAGGCAGACACAAACTGCATGGTGTTAGCAAACAACACCCCCTCCACCTCTACCTGTATAGATTCTGAGGACATTATTATATGGTAATCAATGTTTATTCGTTTATCTATTCAAAAAGTCTTGAATGCCACAGCTGTTCAAAGTGCCAAGTAGGTGCAGAGCACTGTGTTACTAACTGGAGGAAATAGATAATTATACTATGGTGCCTGCTCTCATGGAACCAATAATTTAGCAACTCTGAGACATCCAGAAATGGTTAAGAAGGCAGGGAAGAGACATGATGTATTTTAGAAAAAAAATTCCATCCAATATACTTTAATGCAAAACCCCCCTGCAAACCCAAATATTTGAGGACTTTGAGCTTTCTTGGTGATCCAGAAAGGCTCATTAAAGAAAAAAAATTCCACAAACCAAACACTGACCCTTACTAGCTGTGTGACCCTGGGCAAGTCACTTAACCCCAATAGCCTAAAAAGAAAAAAAAATTAAAAGAGAAAAAAAATTTAACCAAAATATATATTCTCCCTCCCTCCTATTTTCTCCTCCATTGGGAGGAAAAAAGAAAAGAAACTACAGAGTCAGGCAAAACAAATTCTATATTGGGCTTGTCCAAAAATATGTCTGAATCTGCATCCTGAGTCCATTATCTCTCCTTCAGGATGTGGAAATCATGTTTCATCATTGTCAGAAATTCTTATTTCTTGAGAATGATAAAGAATTGAAGTTAGATAGACTGTGGTGTAGTGGTAGAAAGAACACTGGGCTGTGAGTCAGATCCCTTGGATTCCAGCCCCATCTCCATACCTCCTTCGTTTGGTGGTCTTGTGACCTTGGACAAGTAATTTTGCCTCTCTAATCCTTAGTTTTTTCCCTCTACAAATGAAGGCAATAACATTTGCATCACTTATTTCATAGGGCTATTGTAAGGCAAGTATTCTGTAAACCCTAAAATGCTACAGAATGGCAAGTTGTTAACTGTACTCTTCAACTTAATGTCATATTCAATTAATTTTGTTATTTTGTAATTTATAATTTTTATTTTGTTTTTATATTTATTTTATAATTTAATATTTCTTATTTAATAATTTTGAAATTTCTTTTAAGTTAATAATTCTAGAGGCAGCTGGTGGAGGGATGGATAGAGTGCTGGGCCTGGAGTCAGGAAGACCTGAGTTCAGATCTGGTCTCAGACACTTCCTAGCTGTGTGACCCTGGAAAATCACTTAACCTCTGTCTGTCTCAGTTTCCTCAACTGTAAAATGTGGATAATAATAGCACCTACCCTGCAGGGTTGTTGTGAGGATCAAAAGAGAGAATATTTGTAAATTACCTAGGCTGGGACCTAGCACACAGTAGGTGCTACATAAATGCTTATTTCCCTTCCTCCCCTTTAAAATTAAATTTTATTATATTTAGTTTTTCTACCACTTACATTTTCTGATGTCTCCCTTCTTCTCACAGAGAGCCATCCTTTATAATAAAGAATTAAAAACCAGTCAACAAGCATTTATTAAGTGCTTACTATGTTTAAGGCACTGTGTTAAGCAGCAGGGATGCAAAGGCAAAAGACAGTCCTTGGCCTCAGGGAGCTTGCACTCTAATGGGGGAGATGATATGCAAACATCAATGTACACATGGGAGTGAGGCAACGTTAATGGGTGGTGATCTCGGAAGGAAGTCATTAAGCAGTGGGGAGAGAAAAGGAGGGGAAAAGCCAGTTCAGAGAAGCAGCCAATACGTGGAGAAATCTGCTGTTTTTGCCTCTGTTCTCCACCTGTGCAAAGGAGGGAGGAAAGTGCCTTCTCATGCCTCTTAGGGACAAGCTTCATCTTTATTATTTCACAGCCTTAAGAGTCGGTCATAGATCATCTTTCTATAGTTCTTTGCCATTTACAAAATTCTTTCCTCCTTAGTTCCAGTCCTGTAAAGGAGACAGATCAGGTATCAGCAATCCCCTCTTTTAAAGATGAGAAAATTGTCGTTCACATGGGTTTAGGATTCTGCCAGAGGTCCCATAACTGATGTGTCAGTGTCGGGGCTAGAACCCAGCTCTTGGGATTGATAAGATCAGCACTTCTGTCACTACACTGACATACTGGCTCTAACGGCAGGACGTCACACACTCTAGTGGTTGGGTGAGGCGTAAGTTTTGGGCACAGGGAGTCCCTGACTTCACAGCCCATCATCACATGTGGCCCATGAGAGAGATCGACTCTGCTTGGTTTCCAAATGTGAAAATCTCCTTCATTCTTAGGCTTGTGGGGAAGAAAGGCAGTGGCCTCTCCAGGGGGTTTCGGAGACTTCATGTCTCTCCCTAGGAAGGGTGTTCCTTCCCATATCTAGTGTCATGATGGGAGAGTCATCAGGAGCTAGGGGAAGGGGAGTAGAATCAAGGACCACTGGTGGGAAGAGGAAAGGTTGGCGTTGCTTAGCAACGGCTACTCTAGGTGCTGACACTTGGAAGGAAAGTCATGTCAGGTGAGCAGTTGGCCGAAGGAGGATGTAGGACTGGGAAGGGGTGAAACTAGACATAGTTGGGGCTGGGAGCTGTGTCTGGTCTGAGAAAGGGGCAAGGGTAGCCCTCAGTTTCCACCTTGCGTATGTGTGTTTCCCTCAGGAAGTGTGTTCCCTTCCCATCTTCCCCTGTTTCCCCCAAATCTCTTTATAAAGAATATGTTTACAGGTTAAATGCTACCAGGACACTGGCACCCAATTTTGGGAAGAGACATCAGCCTGTCGGGCTGCTGCCATTAAGATGAGGGCTAGGGCATGGGTGCCAACGAAGGCCCAAGCCTTCTGATTCCCATACTGAATCATACTATATCACTTGGGAGGGGTTAATGACATTATCAGTCATTAGCATCCTGACATAGGTTAGGTTCTCTGAATATTGAACTGGAGCAGGACCAGGTTGTAGGTATCAATAGGCTTAGGGTGGGGTGGCAAAGGACTGAGACGCTGGTCATTGATCCAGAAAGAGAGGCCTGTTTAGAGTCCCAAGCCCCTATGGGCTCAGGATGTCAGGGTGGAGAGGAGAATGGGGGTGGGGCTGGAAATCACCCCCCTCCTTCCTACCTCACCTGTGCTCTGTTCTTGCCAACACTACTTGTGCTGGTGGAGAGAGAAAGGGCCTCACCTTCCCTTGCCCAGCTCAGCATCTCTTCCTGAGCTACAGGAAGAACACCCAAAAGAGCGATTAACCACTTCTTTCTCTTCCTCCTTTTCTGCCTCTTCATGTACCTCTTCTTTCTTTCTTCCCTTCTTCATCTTTTCTTCCTCTTTCCTCTCTTATTCCATCTCTTCTTCCTCTTTTATCCTTTTTCTCTCCTTCTTCTTGAATGATATTCATTAATAGATTGCTTTGAAATTTGCAAAGGGCTTTACGTGTCACTTCATTGGAGCCTCACAACAACCTTGGGAAGTAGATGATAGAGGCATTATTATCTTCATTTTATAGATGAGGAAACTGAGGCACAGAAAGTTTGAATGATTCACTCCTTCCCAGGAAGCTTAGTGTGTCAGAAGCATGATTTGATCAGGTTTTCCTGACTCTCAAGTAGAGCAACTCAGCTCAGGCCTCCTTCCTGAGCAAGAAAAACATGCCATGCGCTTTCTTCTTTCTCTCTTCTTCCTTTTTCTTTCCCTCTTCATCCTCCCCTTCGCTTTCTCTCCTGAAAGACTCTTGACTTGGGAGTTATGTGACTTGGGTTGGAGTCCTAGATTTACCATCTAATTTGATTATCAAATTTGTCCAATTCAACTTCTTTCTGGGCCTCATTTATCTCTATAAAATGAAGGATTGGTAGAGGCAATTTTAAGGCTTCTTCTAGCTCCCAAGCTTTATAATTTTAAGGACATAAAACCATATGGGAACAGCAGTTTTTGACCTAGATCCGTGAATTAAAAATTTTTTTTAAACTGTATTACAATAGAATCCATTTTATTTCTAATCCTATATATTTTATTTTGTGTATTAAAAAACCTTATTGTGAAGAGTCTACTAGGCTTCACTAGACTGCCAAAGAGGTCTGTAACACAAATGGTAAAGAATCCTTGCCTTGGGCAAGTTAAAATACATGTGTTGCCTGAAGGCCCAAAAGGAAATTCAAATAAATTCAAATCCAGTGACATAAATTCAAATAAATTCAAATCCAGTGGCATAAATTGGGGAGAGAAGGGGCGTATTTTCAGGCAGAGGGAGCCTCTGTAGGAACTTCCCAGTTCACAGAACCCAAAAGGCTACAGATTTTGGAGAATCCCTGAGAGCACTCTTCCCATGAAGAAAGGAATATCCACCTTTCAGCCTTAAGTGGAGAGAGGAAATCGAGACAGATTGCTTCGCCCGAAATCACTTGTGTAATAGTTGTAATTTTTCACCTTTCTTTAGTGTTCCATGGTTGTTTTCAGTTGTTTTCAGTTGTGTCTGACTCTTTGTGACCCCATTTGAGGTTTTCTTGGCAAAGACATTGAAGTGGCTTGCCATTTCCTTCTCCAGATCATTTTACAGATGAGGAAACAGGCAAATAGAATTAAGTGACTTGCCCAGGATCACACAGCTAGTAAGTGTCTGAAGCCAGATTTGAACTCGCAAAGATGAGCTTTTTGTTTACAAGAACCCTGCAAGGTCCATAGTGCAGTATCACCACCATTTTACAGATGAGGAGACTGAGGCTTAGAAAGGTAGAGTGAATTGCCCATGTTTGTATAGCTAGTAAGTGTTTCTGCTGCCTCCAGGTTTTCCCATCAAGCTCCTGGAAAAAAGAACCTGTCGCCACTTGGAAAAGGGATGATTGCTACAATCTGGAAAGCAAATTGGAGGTGGTGTCATGCTATTAAAGAGTTTACTAAGGCAGGGAACAAAGTGTTGCTGAGGTTCTTGACCAAGAATTGCTGTCCAGAAAGTTAAGTTGGAGAGAAGCTGGGGCTTCAGGGGCTAGGAGTTAGGGCCCAGTCATTTCCTATGATTGTGAGCACTCTAGTGGCAGTTTGTTATACCTTAGTGTTTCCTGTAATTATTCCCTGTCCCCTCCCCCATTTGAGTATAGGCTTCTTGAAAGCAGATACCATTCACTTGCTCAAAAATTTTTTAAAAAAATTTTTGTAAAGGGAAAGAATTTTATTATTGAGTTTAATTTAGTCTCCATTGACAATTACAGATATTCCTATATATAGGCATGTGCATAAGAAAATAAAGTAAGAAAAAATTTTCATCTCAAATTTCATTTGAGACAAAACAAACCTCTCCCACCTCCCACCAAGATTGTAAATTATTGTTCATGTCCACAAACTTGTTATTTATGATTATTAACCTCATCTCTAGAGGGGGTATATTGACTTTAGCTTAGCCATATCATATTGTTTTCATGATGTGTTTTTGACCCTCTTTACTGTGTCCATAACATCCATCTGTGGCTGTTTTTAGGTTGTGGCCTTGTTAATCATTTAGTTTTACTTTGTTCGCCGTGTACTACATCATTTATCTTTCCATATTTTTATGAATTCTTCAAATTCTTTGTTTCATATGGCATGGTAATACTCCATTGCATTTACATCCAACCAATTCCCCAACTTCTCGATTGTTGGCAGTTTTAAATTTTTTTTCTATTACAAATAGTTCTCCGAGAAAGATTTTTGTGGCTAGGTCTCTCCTTACCACCCCCACCCCCAATCTCTGCCCGCTCTGGATGTAATCTCTGTAGGGTAGCTTGTATGCTTGTGTGAGTGGATCTATACGTTTTTGTAACATGTTTAGTAATTCCATTTGTCTTTCCCAAAAGGTTGGACCATCACTCAATTCCGCCAGCACTATAGTAGTATACATGACTGTGTACCTCTATGAACTGTTATGTAACAGTAAGGCTTGCAGTCTGATGAGGCAGATTTAAAAGGACCCAAGTTTATAGTAATATTTTCCTTGGAAGGGTAGTTATGAGACATATGAATGGCTTGTGAGGATGCCCCAGTTGGAGAGGGAAAACTCTTGAACAATGAGCAGGGGGATTAGAATGCTAGCTCTGTAATCAGAAAGGTTACTCTCCCGTAAATATCCTTTGCCCTTATGCTTCAAACAAAAGGCATAAGGAAATGCAAAGGGCAGGGTCAACCACATGACTTTACAAGCAATAAGATTACACCAGTGAGATGCAGTCTTTAATAGGATAAAACGACAAGCTTAGTCAGAGGGTTGGGATAAAGACTACCAGTTCCTCCATGTTGGTGTGTTGGGGTTTTTCCTCAGTACTCCAGCTTCTTAAGCCGATATCCTTGTCCTTGTTACTTGTCCCTTCCGATTTTCACCTGAGGTTGAGGAGGGAAACAGCCCTATCTCAGTTCTCTCCATGTGTTCTTTTTCCTCCCTTTAGAGGCAGCTAATTGGCACCGTGGGTAGAGCACTGGACCTGGAGGCAGGAAGACCCAAGTTCAAATTCTGCCTCAAGACCCTTACTATGTGACTCTGGAAAAGTCACTTAACCACTATCTGGCTCTGTTTCCTCATGTGCAAAATGGAAATAATAGAAGCATATACCCTCCCAGGGCTGTTGTGAGAATCAAATGAAACAATATTTGTAAAGCACTCTGTGAACTTTAAAGTATTATGTAAATGCTAGCAATTATTATTATAAATCCTTAAAATTCCTACTGTAGGGAGAAATTTCTGTCTTCCAGCTCATATTACAGGTCAGCTTCCTGTCTTTCCAAGCTGGAAAGGAATATAGCTTCCAGAAATAAAGCTTATGATTTGGCTTAATCAGGTTTTTAGTGACTTTGACCACCCTGTGTAAGAGTCTCGTCAGAAGAACTGTTTGGTCTTTTTAACGTCTTGCTTGCCATGTATAATCAAAAAGTCATCAACCAAATGTTATCTCAATTGTTACATTTGTCAAAGAATCTTGAGTTTTGGGGTGGAGTCAAGATGGCAGAGAAAAGGCAGGGACTTGACTGAGCTCTCCCAAATTCCCTCCAAAACAACTTTAAACAATGCCTCAAAATGTATTGAGGAGTGGCAGAAGCCACAAAAGGATGGTGTAAAATAGTTTTTTGTTTGTTTTGGTGAGGCAATCAGGGTTAAGTGACTTGCCCAGGGTCACACAGTCTTGTGTCTAAGGCCAGATTTGAACTCAGGTCCTCCTGACTCCAAGGCCGGAGCTTTATCCACTGTGCCACCTAACTGTCCCTAAAATAAATTTTCCAACCCAAGACAACATAGGTCAGAAGGGTCTATTACACTGGGGTGAGAGTGGAGGAGAGGCCATGCCCTAGCAGCCAGAGTTGAGGGCAACTGAACCAGTAGTGGTGGCTTCCAGATCTCGCAGCCTACAGATGGCAAGCGAGTTGGACAAGTGGTCATAAGGAGATTACGGGGGTCCTTTTTCTAGCACTGGATGTCTGACTCTGTTGCATTGCCTACATGTGAATCTGGGTCACAGTCCAAGACATGCCAGAGCTTGTAGCCACAGGGAAACATGGACTCTAGTCAC